AGAATAAACTAATAATGGGAAACCAAAACAGAGTTCAAATTCTCCTCTCAACCTTACCATTTCTTCTGCTAGGCTGGAAAGTACATGTATACTACTAAGGATACCACTTGGGAAAATAACATCTGATCAATGTCTCAAAACTCAACAGCAGAATGTCAGCCTCATTCCCTAGACTGCAACCTCTTGAAAGGAATATGTGGAGCACAGTCTACATTCCAGGTTTTCCACATCTACTACCAATTATTTAAAGACTTTGGGAAAATGTTAAAATTGCTTTAAGATTGAGAAGTGGGGGTGGAAAAGAACAGTACCAGAAAGTCTAGAAAAACAATTATACCTTAGTCAAACATTACAAAATTTTAAAAGATTCTTTATAAAGATACATAAAATGAAAATGTTAATCTTCAGAATTAATTTGGAAAACATATCATCTGTCCACTGATTTTCTGCTACTCCATCACATTAACTACTAAAATGCCCACCTGCCCCTCTATAAACATAACATGTGAAAAGAATACAAATTCATTGCTGTAACAACACTGCAGATGACCATTGCTCACAATCCAGACAGCTTACTTTACAAATCAAAATACCGGGAGTGAGGACTGGAGAAATCACTTGGAAAAGGAGAAAGGAGGTGTAGGGAAGGAGCATTTATTTTCAATATGAATTTAAACACCATTTCAGTCACAATCTAAACAGAAAGAAGTTCATTCATTCATTCAGCAAATCTTGACTGAGAATCTTATTTGCTAGGCACCTAGATTGTTATTTTAAAAGGCAATTAGTGCATGTGACCTAATGATGAAAAAAATAACTGATCCTACCTAGAAATTTTAACCCTATGTGATGAACAAGAATCATTAGATATGAGTGATGAGAAATAGGACAAAACAAACCAGCACTCTTTCGAGGTGATTTCTCACCATCACCACAAACTATCACATACTACAAACTTATTACTACTGGCAAAGAAATCAAGTAGTCGGTGCCACATTCAACTAAATGGATCATTAAAAAAAAAAAAAAAAAAAAAAGCCTGTCTTCAATATCCACCTAAAATTGCAGAACATGTAACTGCTACTTTTCCTGAGTAAGGTGAGAGCAAGTGTGTATTAGAAATTTAAAGAGACATTTTCAACTCTTGGAAGAATTAATCAGGGAAAAATTCTTAATGCTAAATGTAACTGGCTAATTATAAAGGTATGGTCTTTGCCTTTCCTTTGTTATTAAAACAGTTATGTTTAAGGTGTATTTTTGAACAATTTCTGTTTTCCCCTTGCATTCTGCCACTGGTTCAAACAACAATTTTAACCATAAAAATAAAGAAATATTCAAGCTTCCAGCTTCTGAAAATAACATCTGGTATGTGCACGTATTAAGAAGCTGGAGAGAATGTCCTAATTTTTATTTTAAACTTTTTTCACTTAAAACTAGAATGCCTTTAGCAAAGATTAGACATAAACCAGCCTTTTACCTTATTAGGAGCTTGCTATTTTCAACATTTACCTTAAATCTCAACATGGATTTATCTTCTAACCAGCTAGCTTCCTGCCTCTCTCCAACTAGAGTGGAATTTTTTGAAAGCACAAGAAACTTTCTCTTAACAGTTTAAAGCTAGATTGTCAAGAGCAGGTGTTTGTAATTGTTACTTTGTTGCAAACCAGTGGGTTCCCAAAGTGTGGTCCTGGTTCCCTCAAAGGTTTCCAATAACTTTACAGGGGATACTTAAGGTCAAACTATTTTCAAAAATAGTATCAAGATGTTACTTTTATTTTTTACCCTCCTTCTCTCTCAAGCATGAAATGGAGTTTTCCACAGACAGCCTATGTGTTATATCTCAAGAGACAGAATGCAAAAGCAGATATGGAAATCCAGCTGTTTTCTATTGAACTAGGCAACAGTTATAAGAATGTAAAATACCACTCTAAACTTGTTTTGAAAAGTATATTTTATGTAAACTACTATTTGTTAATAGCTAATCTATTATTTGTAGATGATTTAATATGTATCTACATGTTTTAATTTCTAGGACAGTAAAATATCAACAGATATGTCATACAAAGGTTCTTTGGGGTTCATTTTTAAGAGTGTAGAGGGGTCCCGACAACAAAAAGTTTGAGAACCGCTGTAGTATACAATTATATAACTGGAATACACAGGACCTTCCACAGATATAAAGCTCTTTAATTCTAAAGTATAATTACTTCTTTTTACATCCCTTAATCCTGTTGAGCAATATATCTCCTTATAAAGCATAATTCTGCACAAAGCCAGTCTGTCCTAGACCCTATTTAAGGGGCTTTAGATATTTAAGTATTGAGAATGTTTTTACAGAGAAGTTCTGACCTATAAATGCCACCTATCACTTGAACAGTATATAGGAGTTTCTCAGTATTTTTACAAAAATCACCTTGTCATCCTATGAATCACATGTGAAGTATTACTTTTTTTTTTTAACAGAAAATGGATGTATTGCTAGTTAACAGAGCCAAGGATGCTGGTCTTTAGCAATGTGCTTGGCTGGCGTAAGGCTTTCTCACTGTGGTATAATTGCAAAGCTCCAAAGAAAACAAGGCAAGGGCATTACTTTTATTGTGTCAATGCCAAAACAGGGATTTTTTCACCCCTTAATAAAAATGTAATCAGATTCAATGTCCAATTGCCATATTATTCAACACAGAGGCAACCAGTTTGGTTGGGTCCCTAATATCTCCCCTCCCTCCTTCCTCCCCACAAAAAACAAGAATGTTCGCCATTAAATATCAGAATGCGTAACACTCCCACATGATATATTAGTTAAGAACTCACAGATTTACTCATTTAATCACTGAAATAACAGACAGGCAAGAACAAGAATCAGCTCAATACAGTAACACTTGATTATATCAAGGAAAGGATGCCAACAGGTTAAAATGGACGCCCACATGAAAGGGTTCAATTCACAGAATGTGGACAGAAGGGGAAAACTACAGAAAGTTGGGGAACTAGCTTTATTGGTTCTACAAATCCAAGCACATGACTAGAACTTGGCAAAGCACTGTAAACGGCAAACTTTCAAGATGCAAAGATGCCATTCTGCTCCGTGCACAGAAATCACCCCTCCCTTAAGGCCAGACATGCTAGCTTGTTCTTGTTATTAGCATCAGTCTCTTAGTTATGCTCCATTTTAAGTTACTTAAGAGTAACTCAATTTTCTGTGTCTCTTTTCCACAATCAAGAGGACTCCCTGACTGAAAAAGGCAAGACTGACTCAACACAATATGTGACTGACTCAGACAGAGTATCTGCCACTTATAGAAACGCTTCCTTTTTTAGATGCATGTGCCCAGTGAGGCCATTTTAAAATTTGATGTGACTTTACCTAGAAAAAGCCCTGAGTGTGCTAACTTCCATTTGGTATTCTGAAAGTTTTACTGAAGATGAACAGGAGCAATTTCATCCTTCTCCATGAGGCAGGCTTTTCCTAGTATTTGGTGATTTTTCCTTCCAAATCTCTTTTGGAAAAAAAAAAATTTAAGTCACAGTTAAAGCGCTACAGCCTCCAACCAATTTGTAAAGCTCTGAATTTGATATACTTTGTTCTTCCACAGTCATAGGTAAGAGCTAATTTATAAAATTTGTTGTATTTAATAAAAAGATTACAACAGTGTACTATAAAACCCAATTCACCGGTTCATCTTTAAAGGCTTCACTGAAAACAAAAATCATCGTTTACAAAGGTAAGCAAAGCAGCAAACCTCTGAGAGTTCCAGGAAACCGTGGCTACTTCTATTCGCTGTCGTAGAGTACATTTTTCTTTGTGGCATTACCTATGTTGCTCTCCAAGGACATAATCACCATTTAAGTAACCTGTCAAAAGTGTAAAGGCATTCTCTAAAGTATGTTCTCAGCTGCGGCCCACCATTAGAAATGTCAGACAGCCAAAATGTACCTTCGCCCTCTTCCCTTATTTCTTCAAATCTTAAAAATCTCTGAAACGCACGATTCAAGTGTTACGCTACAACCCAAGCTACCGTTGATCATCGCAGAGCTAATAAACAAAGACTCTAGCGGCGGCGGCAGGGCCCTACCAGGAAGTAATCAAAGCAGTGTGGCCGTGCGACCCTAAGTAGCTAGAGCAGACAATAAGAAAGCGCTGGGGCTTCCCAGGGTGTACCGGCAGGAGTTCCGAAGCCGAAGTAACGCAGAAGCATTCGACAAACCTAACCACCATTCCACAGCACTCTAAGTCGGGAATCCCAAAGCAATTTCAGACAACCCGAAAGATAGGAAAGGCAAACTCAAGCCGCCACTCCAGAGCAGCTAGCTGCTGGCTCAGTCTCCCAAGCTCTTTAGCCTGCAGCTTGTTTTCAAACTTCACCCTCCCTGGCTGACGAAAGACTCCGACCTGGGCCGCCCGGGCGCCTCTCGGGGCTCGGGGCTCGGGGCTCCAGCCCGGCGCGGATCCGGCAGCCGAAGCTTGAGGGCTGTGAAAGGAAGCCCGTCCGAGCAACGCGGCGACGGGCTGGGGCCCCTCGGCCCACACAAAGCTGGAGAGCGGCGCTTTTCCCGTCCGGTGGAGCAGGGGACGTAACTCGGGCCCCGCTACACGTGCGGGCGCCGAGTTGGGCTGGACACCCGTCCCGTCGCCCCCCACCCGGCGACCCCGGCGAGCACGGCCCCCCGGCACCGCAGGGCGGGGCGGGACCGCGAGCCGCGCGGGCCAGGGTCCCCGCCCGCCGCTACCCCACGCGCTCGTGGGCCCACAGGCTCCCGCCCCTCGCGGGCCTCTCCTCCGCTGACCGGGCCGTCGGGCCGCGGGAAACAAAGAAGCCGCCGCCGCAGCAGCCGTGGCGCCCGCCCGCGCGTCTCCCCGCGTACCCCTCCCCAGTCCCCGGGCCCCAATCGCCCGCACCCCTCCGGGAGTTCGAGCGCCGGCCGCCCGCGGCTCCTAGACGGCAGGCCCGGTGGAGCCGGGGCCTCGGGTGCACGGCTGGGCCGCCCGGGGCCGCACTCACCGCTGCAGCACCAGGACGACGGAGAGCCGTTGGGGAACTTGGCTGAGTCCGGAGCTATGCAGACGCTGGAGCTGAGGTGTGGACATTCCATGGCCACGAGGAGGACGGCGAGGAGAAGCGAGGCTTCTGGACAGTGCGAGGTGGGAACGGAGGGATTCTCAAGACTCCGTCTGGGGTAGCTGTTCGCCGGGCGCTCGGCCGACGGCGGCTGCGTCCCGAGCCCTTGCGTCAAAGAAAGCAGAGGCTTCCGGGAGCCGGGTTTTCCCGCGCGCCGTCTCCAGAAGCTCCGCTCCGGAGAACGTGAAACTCCGGGATCCGGGTTCTCCCGCAACCCCCAACCTGAGGGCTTCCGTCTTCCCCAGCCGGTCCCGTCCCGCCCCTGAGCAGACTCCGCCCCCGTGGCAGGTCCCGCCCCCAGCCCCTCCCACGGGGTGGAGCCTCAGAGCTCCCTAGGCGGTGGCTCGTAGTCAGGCTTCGCTAGGAAGTGACTTTTCCAAGTCTACAGCGGGGAGCCGCCTCGGCTTCCTCCGCCGGGGAAGGGTGGGGCGCAGCTCCCGGACGCGCTGTGCAGGTTCACTGCTTTTACCGCGACCCCGCGAGCGCTCGCAGGCTGAGAAAACTGATCTGCGTAGTGCGTCGTGGTCTGACTATACCGTGACTTCGTGGTAGAAAATCTGACCACACAGGAAAGTGTGAAGAAGAAAATTAAAACCACTCGGGCAGACACTGTAACCCCCGCTTTACACAAAGGCACAAGTTTAGAGAGGGCAAGGACTTGGCTCTCCGTTGGCCTACGAGACTAGGTAGTTCTCAGAAACGACCTGATTCGGTGCTAATGCCCCCTGCGGCAGGTGTGACACTAACCCGGTGCCAGGTTTTGAACACGTGGCCTTAGCCGGCCAACCGGATGCTGCGTGGCAGGACCCGCGGGGGCGCCCACGAACTTGGGTTTTAACACTGTCACTGTGACTCACCATCCCCGTTACCACGAGCATGAGATTGAACTTTCGTACCTCACCACCCTTGGAAGTTTGAGAGCTAACCTGGGTTTGTTGAGGACGAGGTCCCAGGCACGAGGTGATAATAAGGAAAGGGATCTAACATTGTTAAACGCCTACTACGGTCAACTAGTCGCACACTTCACATACAATACTTCGTTTTAGCCTTGCACCAGTTTGCCTTCTGTTACCGTCCCACCTACGCAGGCCCCGCCTCCCCTTTTTTTATAACAAGGGGGAAACCTAGTCTGTAAATTAATCTGCGCCCCACTCTCTTGACACCGCGGTTAAAAAAGCATGGGGGCAAGTCTCAAGGGACCGCTAGGGCAAGTGTTACACTGCTCTCACCCACGATCTCGCTGGGATTTGGCCTTGAGGTCGTCCTGTGCCATTACAAATATTGCCCCAAAACTGGGGCTCCTCGTAAAACCTGGAGAAGGAGCAATACGGCCAGGAAGCAAGCAAGGAAAGGGGGAAAGCTCATGTGGCAATCCTGTCCGCAGGGCGAGGAGAGGAAGGAAGGTCAGGAAATGATTAACTGGGCTGGGCTGGGCTGGGTAGTGGCTGGAGCAGGGTTCCAACCTGCTCACCATGGTGCAGTTTTGCAGGGGCGCAGGGACATCCTTAAGCCTCCCAGTGCCCTCATAGCCCCAGTACTTCCTCAATTCCTTTTCTTCAGTGCACTCATTTGCCTGGTGGTATCCACTCACCTAGCCATCTCTAATCACCCGCTCCTCACTGTCAAAGCTCTTATTTCACTTTCCAGGTTTCATTTGATTAAGGTTGGAGCAAGCCTTGGTTTTAAGAAGTGGTGGAACTTGCAATTGCTCAAATCCTACCTCTACTGTCAGGATCAGTCAACTTTAGTGCCTTAAATATTCACAAGCCCTTTTTGCTTTAATCTGAGAAATAATATTTATATCACAAGGATAAGAGAAATGCCACCATGTGGTAGGTAACAAATAACTTAGGTCCTCTCTTTAAGATTTGTTTTACTTATTTATGCATACAGGAGCTGGGGTGTACGCCAGAGGTGGGGGTAATGTTGGTGAAAGGATTCACTAGAGACAGAGTGGGGACAGAGCAGAACAGACTGACTGAAATACACTGATGAGAGGAGCAGTGGACAGACAGGAGAGGTCTGTGCCAGGTGGGTCAGCTCCTTGCTGAGGGGGTCAAACTCATGCTGCAGTGGTTGTGGATAGCTCCATAGTGCTGAGACTTAACCCTTTGAGGCACCAGGGAGGGTGCCTTTTTTTAATGACAGTAGGTGAGGGAATAATTCCTAGGAAAGAGGTATATAAACAACAAATCTGACCTTTGCCAAGCTCTCAATCCTCTCCTATCAACCCAGGATTCTGACAAGGCATGGCCAGACCAACCTCCGTTTTCCTCTGGACACCTACATCCCATTTATTATCCACATAGCATGCTCTGACTTGTGCTATCTTCCATACTGGTATATGATGTTTCTTTTTTCACCCCCTCAGAGACTGTCTCCTTTTTATCCTATGGACCTCAGCTGGACCCTGACCTCCTCAGGGAGGGTTCCCCTGACCCTGCTGCACTCCCAGTCTACCCTCCAGTTATGTGAATCCCTTGTCTGTCCCCCCACTCTGGTTTTTAAAAATACTCTTCATGCATGTAGTAGTTATTTCTTTAATGTCTGTCTTCCCCTTGGAGATGGGAAAGGGTAGTAAACAAGTCTGTCTGGTTTTCTGCTGTACTCCTAACAGCAACATGGAACATGGAGGTATCCAACAGTGAATGAATGAGTGATGGACTAGCAATGTCTACATGGGCAGGCATTTAGGAAGCGACCCAATGCATGCCAGGTATTGGGTCACACACTGTCACTACTCCCAGGTGACTTCTGAATTGATTCAGCTGAGTTGTTTATTTTATTTTAATAGAATCCAGAATGTGAAAGCACCTTGTAAAGTGGAAACTACTGAGAAGAAAAAGGAAATCTTTTTATTAGTGTCTTCACTCCCCAACTAGGAAAAAAAAAAACCTCTCAGAGTAAGATCCCTGATTTAGTCATTGGTGACAGTAATCCCCAGAGTGTAACTATAACTTTCAATCAGTGAAAAGAAGCTAGACAAAATCAGAAAGGCCCTCCCTGGGGTTTTGGTTATATATCCTTAAAACACAACAAGCTTTCTGTGTCACTGAAAGTTGTCATATATATATTATGTTATGTTATATTATATTACATATATATGAAACAATAACCTCTCTTGTGAGTAAATGTGTTAAACAGGGGAGATGACAGGACACGTTGGAAAATCTGCTTTTTCAGTCCCTTTTTTTCAGCTACATTTATTAGTGTTCACTTTTTTGTTCTTGGCCGGCATCCCTTTGGCAGCTCTGAGCTCTGACACAGAGCTCTGACACATATACCATGAGCTCTGGCATGTGCTGCAGCGCTAGGGAATCTTCTGGTGGTGTGGATCCCCAACTTCCAACTGCCCTTTTCCTGTCCCAGGGAGGGGACTCCAGCCAGAAGTCCAGAAGTACTGCCTGCATGTTTTAAAAGTTTGTGTTTTAGGCCCTCCCCAGTGACTCAAAGAGTTAGGATGCAGCACTGCAAGCTGCAACAACCTGGCTAGGCAGACCTCTTCTGATCTGCCCGCTGCTCCCCTCAGCAGTGTACTTCATCAGTCTTCCTGGTCTGCTCCCCATTATGTCTCTGGTGTAACCTCTCATTGCCCCTGCCCCTCTGGCCTGTACAGCCAGCTCTGTATGCAAGGAGACATAGATAAAGGCTGGGAGGGGAAGAAGGGGTGAGGTCAAATGTTGCCATGGGGATCTATTCAGGTAAAGTCTCCAGGTTCCTGTGACCCACCACTGCCTTAGATTTGAGACTCAGACAGAATCAGTGGTCCCAAAGCAAGGATTATATACTGACTGCCCCAGGGAAAGACTAGCTCTGACCTCATTCAGGCAGGGCTTTTTGGAAGCACCCAGAGAGTGGGTTAATTATTTACCTTAGAGATTTTTTCTAAGAGTCAAGCTTGAGAAACCAAAGTTAGATCTTGGGGACTATTCAGAAGGTGACTAAGGAGTGAGGAGCAAATGCTCAGGGGCTCTGCTATCACCTAGTTTAATTTTCCAAGAACCACTTATCCGATACTGCTTGCTTGTGTATTTGTTTAATATATTGGCAGTCTCCTCCATGAGAGCAGAGACCTTGCCATTCCTGTCCGTTGGTTGATTTCCAACTCCAGCAGTTCAACCTAGTACAAGGCAGGCATCTGATCACTATTTGTTGAATGAATGGGTGTGGGCTTCAGCAACCAGGAACATCCCCAGTGCCATTCTCCTCTTCTTTCCAAGTATCTCCCTGCCCAAAGTTTTTCAATTGTTCCCCATCTCTGACAAAATAAAATCTGAAGCCCACTGCCACCAGTCACTTGTCCCTTCTCTACACCAAAACTTTTTGTTGTTGTTACTATTCTAGCTTCACCTAAAATAGTTCCCTCAGTAGAGAAAATGTGCTCTCTCACACCTCTGGATCCTCCCCCAACTCCTTTCCTCTACCTGGCCAGCTCACTCCTTCCCCCATCAAACATATCATCTGGGGAAACTCTCCATCAGTCATTCAAGCTGACTTCAAAGCCTCCCCCAGCCACCAACAGTCATTCTGTCCCTGCAGCTTGCCACATGGTGCTGTTATTTTCTGTTTACATTTCAGCCTCCCTTGGGAACAGATGCTTTTCCTCTGTGGATCCAAGTCACCTCGTTTAGCAATAGCATATTTTTTAAACTTGTCGATTAAATGTCATTGTAAGTGCCCCTTTCAAATTATTGCATCAGTCATTACACATAATGGTCCCCTAAATATTCACAAAAGGGACCTCAATGATATAAGAACAGAAAATTACATTTATTGGGTCTCAGTTCAGTATCAAATGGCCTTCATTCCTTTTTTAACTCCCACAACAAATCTGAGAGGTAAATATTATCAGCTCTATTTTAATAATGAAATTACTGAAGTTCAAAGAAGGTTAAATAATTGCATAAGTATGCACAATTAGTAATTGGTCTTTTACCAAGTTATAAGTGGTAGTTTCACCCCTTATGTACCTGGTCAGTTAAATGAGTTTACGGTCTAGCCGGTGGGGCTAGCTGAAGTTCCTAATATTGAAGATTCTCAGGGACTACAGGATACAACCTTTGAGTAGCTGGTGAATCACTGTACCACTGTAATGACTTGTGTCATCAACAAATTA